ATTCTTTAGCGGCTAAAATTAGGCACTTTTTTCAGCAAGTAAGCCAGTAAGTTAAAAAGTAGACTTGTACGTGTCGATTATTAAGATCGAACGACTTAAGCTGCACGATTTGAGAGTCTTGCAGCCTTATAAGCCCAGCTCCATATTGATGGAACTGGTGATTCAGAGTGGTATTCTACAAATTCCAGAAAAACAGCGGTATTACAGAATATTTGATTGTTCGCGCTATGATTAAGCTTTAATTCCGACGACATATTTTAATAATTTATCGTTTAGCCGCTGCGCGTTTTTCCGCTATGGTGCAACTAACCATCCTGAGGTCATACTAGTACTTACTTGTCCCCCTAATTTCTTTTTCCGCGCTTCCGGAAGCAAATACAAGAAGGATTTGACTCCGTCGGCCAGACGAGCTCCCAGCTCACTTGCTTACGAATCTCCCACACCACATTACAATGGCCATCGCCCTTAGAAGAATGCTCTCACTCCTATTCAAATAAAGTCTTCAAGGGCGCTGGCACTCTGGTGTACAGAACCACGCTGCTCCCGTTTTGACAGCTAAAAGGTTGAAATCCCACTATTGAATGCGAATGCTAACCATAGGGCTCCGACGCCAGCCCATTTTCGAACAGGCGCCAGTGCAAGTGACGGATAATTGTTGATGATGTTCTTGAAAAGCTTTTTAGCCGCAACTGTGGACTCTGTGATGATCAGTGCGTCAGCTAGTTGCTTCATGAACTTGTGCACATGGTCCACATGGGTATAATTCACTAAAAATGCATGAAACTGGCACAACTAAACTTATATATATTCAAGAGGAAAGCGTCTGTTGCAGTTAGTTTTTCCTGGACCATGAAAAAAAAAAAAAAAAACATGCCGAAAAACATATGCACAGGTAACACTAACAAGCAGCGCTTTCCAGTGGACAAAACCGGAAGGCCGTTCCATTGGTACTACCAAGATCCACCATTTGCAAGCCCAGCTGTCGGCATTCCGAAAGCAGTCCTTGACTGAGCTAAAAGCAGTAGACATTTTACTTCTTTTAAGCCATAATCGAAAAAAAAATGTTGCGTTCGAATCACAAGGCAGTAGCAATTCGTTTTGGATTTTATTTATGAAAACAAAAAAATAAAAGCTTTGCGTTTCCGCGAAATCCCCCGCAAATGGTCTAGATTTCATCTGCGAGAGTTTGTAAGCACTTCTGTTACGCATCTGTAATTGCGAACCGATAAGGCTCTGAAAATCAGCCACTGAAACTTGAATTTATCTAAGGAGGCAGGAAATTTAAGCAAAGGGGAGCAATAAGTTGCACTGGCTTTGTGTAATCGAACGAATGAGACGTGTTCTCGTTGATCCAAAACTTAATTTCCACCGTTTTATATCGATTCGCTTAAACTGTTAGTAGTTCAGAACGACTGTTCACACAACATCCAGTTCGTAGGTAAGAAGTCACTGGTAATCAGAATGGTGCACGTTATCGTTGAAGCGCACTGCAGTCATTCGTATGTCATTTTGAGACACGGAATTCGATTTCTGCGTAAGAGAGCTCATCTTACGCTAGACAGAAGCTCATAT